ACTCGTTTTTTACAACAAAAAGCTGCTCCAGGTCTGACTGTAGACCAGTTTATTAATGAACTTGATATATTACTTCAAAATTTACATGGTAATCCGATTGGAAATCGTATTTCAGAATTCAGTACATTTAATAAAAAGAAGAAAAATTATCATCGTTGGGTAAAAAGATTAAAATATAAATTCCATTTATCAAATGTTATTTTACAAAAAACTGACAAATCTAAAGTTTCTCACCTTGGGAAGATGCAAGATTATCAATTAAAATCTAAACAATATATAGATAAAACTGGAGCGTCTAAATGCTTAGGAACCAATGATCCATTATCTGATCTTGTCGAACGTACCAATAAATATTTAGTGAGCATGAGATTATTACATCGTATAAACCAAAAACAATATGAAAAATTATGTGTAAAACCTGATGAAGTTGAACTGGCTCATTTGTATTATTTACTGAAAGCACACAAACCCGGTACACCCTTAAGACCAATTATTTCTGGCTTTAAACACCCAACAATTAAAATATCCTGTTTTCTCGATGTATTACTTCGTCCATTATTTGATCGTATGGCAGTTGATACTACAGTATTATCAGGTAGTGATCTAATAAATAAACTTTCGAATTGGTCAAGACAAGAAAATTTACAATATGGTACTTTACTATGTACTCTCGATGTGGCTGATTTGTACACAATGATATCTCAATTAGATGGTGTAATGTCTATTAAGAAGATGTTTAACCATCTGAAAACAATATTACAATCAAATTCGTGGTGGAGCAATGGGATCGCCTTTAACGTTAACAATAGCGAATACATATATGTTCTTCTTTGAATCAAATATAATTAAACAGATCAAGAACAGTGGTGGCTTGTATTTACGTTATATAGACGATATTTTTATAGCAATTAATTGACCAGAACAACATTTAATTAAACAGATTGAACGATGGAATAGTTTCGACCTGCACTCACAGATTATCGATAGTCAATTACATACTAAAGTGTACCACAAGCCTTCTTACGAGCCGTACTACCTGCCTTTCAATAATATACATCCGATACACATTAAAAGAAATATTCCATATATTATGTTATATCGTGCAATTTAATACTGTTCAACATTTGTAGATTTTAACCATTAACAGTTTTCAATTATAATCAAGGACGGCAAGATATTATGAATACACCTACACAAGAAAAAAGAAATATTGATTTTAGTAGAACATTATTTGTACATTTTACTTATTGCTCAAATATGGAAACATTTCCACATAAATTTGATAATTTTTGGAATAAATATTTTTATGAATCACCAATAAATGACATTCGACCAATATTAGGAACTCGTAATGTTAATAATTTGCAATTTCTTTCCATAAATTCGACATGGCACCATTCTTTAATTCGTTTGAATAATATTATTTTATATTTTCTGATTTTTTGTTTATTTTAGTTCTTATCGTAATGTCATAGACCATACACAAAATTTTATTTTATTATTTAATCGACCGAATAATAGATTTGCTATTGTCGTCGTAATAATAGAAAGAGACAAGAAATCTGACTTTTTTCAAAAAAATATGTTGTATTCTGTCTCTAGGCATCCTCTGATTGAATTTTTTTCTTCCTTATCACATGTCTTATATTTTATTTTATGCTATGTTTTTAGTAATTCTATTATTGTTTGTCTTCTTCGAAATATTTTTAATAATTCTATGTCTTCTTCAAATTATTATTGTTTTGTCTCTTGTATTTTTTCGAGTATATCTAAAAAAGTTTTTGTAATGCACTGCTCTGATGAGTGTTATAAGATTTTGATAAATAAATAACACAAAACGCGTTGGCAAGATATCCTCAGTGCATTTTATATTATATAGATTTTCTTTGCACAAAATGACTCGATTTTACAAAGACAATATCAATCAATTGCTGAATAAGCAAGAATTGAGAAAAGGCAGACTAGACTTATCATTCGACAGGTCAATCTGTTTATTAATTACGCGAAATAATTAAATAACTATTCAAGCACTGTACCAGATACAAAAGCAATTATTAAAATGTATTGCAAGATTCTGTCAAGTCTAAATTTGAGTATATTGGAGCATTGTTAATCTTTTAAAAATTTATAAATGTTCAATTGTTAGATTATTTATTTTGTGCATCTTGAGGGTGGGTGTGGGTGTGGTGGTGGATACAATATCAATATATAATATCCTCACCCACACCCTTCAATATGATTGGCATGTGTCACGATTGATGATACAGCTGACCCCGTTGATTCACCATTTAAAAAAATTGGTTTTAAATACGTAAATGAAAAAAGCTTTTCTGTTTTAGTAATTGCGTTATCTATTTGTTTAAACGCATTAGTTGTATCACTTCCTTCAAAATAAAACAGTAAGAAAAAAAACAAAAACAACATATAATGGAAAACAAATTTTGGTGGACAATAGTTCATTTGAAAATATCACACTCAGAAATATGAATCAACCTGATACGAGATATTTTTTACAGATATTACGGAATTCAATTTAAAGAGAAAACAACTGAGTATCAACACATTGAAAATCATATTTTGGAAGAGTAAGAGAAATTATCTTTGAATCAATATTTCCATGTCTTACACATGAATCAATACTCAATTAATCTGTTTTTGAAAAATAGAAAGTATTTTTCTTGAAGCAAAAACATTCGTTTAAGTACCAAAACAATGCGTAATTTCTAGAAAAATTTTCTGATCTCTTCTATCATATAAATCTCAATTGTATTCGAAACTCATCTACCGCTTATATATTGCTGTTATTTGTAATATAACACACTTGATAAATATCTTTAATACTTCTGCGAATAGTCAATATCTACAAAAATATTATGATAAACTTGCATGGTCCATTTTTATATTAAAAAGATTTTTATGTAAAAATCAATCGTTTATAAATATCTCTTGTCTTGCATAATAACGAATGTTAAACTAATAACGACATATCTATATTGTTAGTCATTTATATTTTATCTTTCTCGTTAGAGCCGTGATCTATTTCTATATCTTACACTACAAAGTATGTAAAATGTTTATTTAAACTTCTACACTTATCTCTATACGAATAAAAAAATAGTAGTGTACTAAGCAATCTCTAATAAATTAAATTCTATATCTCCTAATAAATTTTCTTTCGCATATTATTTAAACATACCTCTAGGTCCCAGTAATCACAAATATAATTGTACAGAAAGTGGATCAGAAGAAGTATACTGCGTATAATAGGAACCCTGCGAGAAGTGAGACATCATGCTTAAAGATAAAAAGAAAGATAAGTATGATTCATAGTTATACATATCCATGTAAGTTTTTAATAATCGCATTTGCTGTGGGTTCAAAGTATCACACATTTCAATGTTCATCTGAGATGCTGATGTTATATTTGTTAAGATCATTTCAGAAATCGATTTTTCATCGATAATAGAAGAACATTTTGACATATTGAATTATGAGAATAAGATAAGCACTTGTATCTATAATCTCAATACAAAAAAGAAATATTTTTTATTGATAAACAATGTAAAGTTCGTTATCATAAACAAGAAAAATTAGAAAAGATTTTTTATTTTTCTTAAATTTAGTACAACTAGCTGTATTATATTGTATTTACTTAACTACTGCAGTACTTGATGAGTACGATTAATAGATTAAATATACCAAAGGCGTTGAGTACTGATCGTACATAATTCAATATCTTATTTTGATCGACAACATTTTCATATAATTGCAGGATCATTTTCACTTGACCATGAGATGTATGATTTTTTATACAATAATAACAGTTAATCTCATCGGATGTAATGTTTTTTAATAAACTAACGACAGTTTCATGATGTTGATTAATCGATTCAGTATTATTTTGTCGATGAAGTATTAATATTTGATAAACAAAAATGATCATCAAGATTAGGTAAACTAATCCCGTCATAAGCAATAATGGAAAATGCAATTTAACAGATTCTTTATTTCGAAGATATACAGCAGCTGGCGTCTCAAAAATAAAATTTTCATTAACATATAGATAAACCACACATACACTTACAAGTTCTACACCTTTAACCGTTAAATACTTCTTTGATATGTTGATAAGAATATCTAAAGAATAAAATCTATTATACAAAAAATCATCGCTGTGAGAGTCCTTATAATTTATGCTATGTCGACATGGTGTAGCCATCTTAATATGTGGTGTTGATGTTGTTGTTGCTGGAGTTATTGATAGTGTAATTCCTCCACAATCTCTTCGACTTTGATTAACTTCCATTGACCCCACGACGATGTGTTCTTTTGAGATGCAGTGCATTGAATCATATAAATGTGAGGCTAAAACAGACACAAATAAATAAAAAATAAATTATAGAAAAAACTTTATTTTACCATGCATTGATCCTCGTCCTGTCGACAATACTGGAAGATCTTCTTCCTTTGATCGAAGAGCCACGTGGTATTTCAGCAAAGCGATGTTACATGTCTTAAACTTTTTGCATGTTTTTGTAATTTGGCGTTGGAAGTCGGTGTAGGTTGTGGTGTTGCGAGCGATATACAATGATTGACGATATGGTGACAAGATATCTGTTTCGCTTACGAAGCAGCTTAACCATTTAACAAAATAAGGACCTATAAAGACAAAATTATTATTATGATAATAATAAAAATAAAAGGAAATTACCGTCATGTGGTTTGGTACCAGTCATAATTTCAATTTGTTTTTTTGTTAATCTTGGTGTAGCATGATCAGAAATAATGAATTTAATATAATTATCCTTTTCGACCATACTATCATATAATCTAATAACATCGTTGGTACTAATAATATGAAGGAAGTGTTGACCAGCGCAACGTTTTTCTTCGTTAACTTCAATAGCGACGATCTTCTTTTGTTTCTTCGACTGTGTTGTACAAGTTTTGCGCTAAAATAACACAAAAAGTTATGACATTATTAGTTTATTTGCACTTACATTTATGATTTTAAGTGAAAGTTCGGTATCACGCTGGATCTTTTCTTTTTCGGCATCTGTCGGACATGGACTGTTCTTCATAAGTCGTTTAATATAAGATGTGCCAAACCGGGTCCATCGACGGTTTTTTTCATTGTAATAAGAAGCATCTACAGTTGACATAATTAGTGAATAAACAGATAATGAATAAATAGACAAATAACGAATAAATAATGAATAAATAAACGAAAGAGTAAGAAATTTTGAAAGTGTGAGTTATGTTCTCGATTATGATCTGTTTGTTCTATTTCAATTCAATACATAATTAATCGTAATTGGCTTTCGATTATCTCGTTGGGAATAATTATTAGTCACGTCTATTGATCATTTACCGAACATAACGGACGATGAATAGAGTGTGTATATATATATATTGTCTACATTCAACTCAATACTCATACTATTATTAAAGTGAATAAAATAAAATAATTATAAATGGCACGAACAAATAATCCACAAATATTTCTCAATCGTCTCAACCTTGGTCAAGTAAGTGATTTTGTAACAGATCTGCTACCGCCTGGTTGTCATTTTAATTTACTGAATAAAGATCATTTTAACAGTCCATCGATCACTATGAAACAGCTTACAAAAATGAAGAATGCTCGAGGAGAACAACATCCAGACGGTAACTAATATTCTCATTAAATAAAATAATTTATATTTGCGTTTTTTCAAGATCTTTTTTCAAAAGATGGATGGAGTGTAGAATTACAAAAAAAACATCACAAGCGGCCACCCACCCATCATCCTTCTGCTACTTTACGTGTAGACGGTACAGCTTGGTCGACATCAGTCCAAGATCGTTTCAATCAGTTTTGTGTATCAAAAACTATTAACATATTAAAGATACAATCACATCATATAATTCTTCGTTTTATTTTAGCTCGTAGTGGTCGTCGACTTCCGTTACTGGCTGCGAAGAAACACCATGAACAAGGTCAGTTCACATTTTTTCTTCTTATTGTAACTTACACTTACATTTCTATTTAGCATCACATTTATGTGATACGAATGGCGGGGTGTGGGTGTCGATGAAACAAACTACCCACACCCACACTCTCAAGATGGTCTTATTTTGGGTTCAAGTCTTAAAAATGTTAACACGTTAATCTATTTGGAAAGTACCATTGTGTTGATTGCCACGATAGTTACTATACAATCTTTCTATATTTTAATAGTAACTATGTTCGAAATAAATTTGAAAAACTTTAAGAAAACTGAATAAGTTTTACCCATTTATTTTTTTCTCTCAGGTTATAATTTTTTCTATTGAAGCTATTCTTCAATTGTGAAAGATTTTTTTATAAGTGTATATGTGTTAACTATTTTTTTTATCATCGTTCATTAGCATGACAATAAATAAAGTATGAAAAATTATTCAACATTAATTAATGCTGCTTTTTAGCTAATGAAAGTATTATCTGAATTATGAGATCATTTTTTTTCTTAAAAATTTTAATAAGATATTCTATTCAGACAATATAATCATAGATTCGATACATGTATCATCTTAAAAGTGACTTGATAGCAGAAATGAACAAGTCGTCTATTTTTCGATACAAGTCAAGTCAAGTCAAATTAAGTAGTAGAGAAAAAAAACATGTTTTTAAGTCAAGTATTTGACATAGAGTGCTTCGTTGTCAGTCAAACCAAGTTCAGTTAAGTTTCTAGTCAAATGATTTGAAATTTCTCAAAGTTTCTACTTTAATAACGCATAAATACATTGAAAAAATTCACATCAATCTTTTAGCATATTTCAGGGTGTGGGTGTGGGTGTGGGTGTAAGTATAAACAACTCATCAATACCCACACCCATCCTTATCCTCAAGATTTTGATCTAAATCATTCATTTGTAACGATTTCTTGGATCGTATATTTTAACACGTAATAGCAATTCAAATTTACGACAATATTTCAACTGAATCTTTCATACAATCGTTTTTCTTTTGTCATGCGTTTTTAGATCATATAGTTAATGCTTGATATATCCTTCGATTTTATTAAAATAATCGAAAGAATCTTTGTTTTACTTATTCGTTATTGTGATCTTTTCTTTAATAATGTATTTAAGTGCTAAGATATAATTGAAATTTGTTGAAAATGAATGGAATATTAAATTTGATTACATAATCACATTCTCATAAAGACAAAAAAACAATGATAAAATCATGAATATTTTTAGAGTATCTTGTTTTTTTAAAATATATATTCCAGTTGAACTTGATAATATACCCGTAAATTGTTTATCAGTAATTAGTCTTGGATTATTCATATTTGGTTCTATCCAATCATTAGTCTGTAAACAGTTTCTATAGGCTGAATATGCCTTATAATTATTCCAAATAACATCACCATGTGTACCACCAAATACCATATTATCCTGAGTGGGTTGATCAGCATTATAATAAGATGCCATTTTAATATTATTGTTATTTATATAATCACACATTTGACGCAACCATTCATTTTTTGACTGCACATCTGTAGTATTTCCTGTTCGTACACCAACTGTTGCATATGCATTCACAGAGATCGGTTTTGTTGATGATAACTTGTTGAATCGACCCATCATATTATCAAGAATTTCATTTGGCCATTCCCATTTACTCCCATTAGCACTTGAACCTGCATTAAATACATTAATTCCTAACCAATCTGTATAATTTGCTCCAACCCAATAATCTTCTGCAGTATATTGACCATAGTCTTTACTCGCTACACTCCAAACCCATTGAAGTCTTGTTGCATTTATACCTTTATTTAATAATATATTATAAGTATGACGCCATGCCAAAACAAAATTGTTTGGAATAGAACCTTTTGACCACGAATACCAATTTCCATTCATTTCATGACCTAAAAATTGATACAACATTCTATGATGATATATCATCTCAGAAGAACTTCGAAATGTGTTTTATGATCAAAAACTGCTTTCTCATGACAAATAAAGAATAAGTGTAGACTATATGTTATTTCATACCTAGTCGTACAAATGCCCGTCGATCATCGTTAGTTCCATAAATACCATCAGGGCCAGCCAACCAATTTTTCATACGATCACCAAATTTATTAATGTATGGATCATAACTATTGTTATTAATTCTTATCGTTATTCCTGGATCGTCTTCATTAGTATGATTACAAAGAGTTATTTCCCATGTTATGAATGGGATCATACTACGATTCCATACACTATTCATATCAAGATCAAAAAATGAATCCAATGAATTATCACACCAATCAGTGTAAATGTCGATACTTGCCTGACGTTTGCCCACCCACAATGATAAATTACCTGTAGAATCCATCATAACTGATGTTAACTTGTAATTAACTATTGTAGCATGTGTGACTTTTATTGACGGAATGAAAACAAATAGTAATAGAATTTGACTGAAAATTTTAATCAATTCCTTCATCTAAAATTATGCAAAAACAAATAGGATGTATGAGTATCGTCTAATTACTCATACCCTCACTCTATCTATCTATTTTTGCACTTAAAAAAATCTACGAATTAAATCGTAGCTGAAAGCACCAACATTTTTACGTATGTTATGTGCTAAAAGAATCTATTGAAAGCGCGGTATGATCATGAAATGACTTTTTTTAACTGTCCCTTCAATCTCTACTGAACGCAATAATAATTTTAGAAAAATATTCTTGATATAATTCTAGAGTTGACACTCACTTTGCTTTATAATATAAAACGTAACTATGATATGCATCTTCTACTATCAGAAAAGAATGACAATGTGTCAACATAGGTCTTATCAGAATGCATCTCTATTCTTAAATGATAAGATTTACAACTTTTATAATTATGAGATTGACGATCATAATTCTTGAAATATTATTTATCTATGTAAGCAGCACAAACACCCAATTTTTTTTCAAAATGCATAGTGGCTATACGCTACAAAAAATCATCACCTTCAAAAACATTCTTTTTAAAATTCATTTTAAGATTAGAATATAAAACAAAATCGAGTTTTTTTGATGAAATTGTGATTTTTATATCAAAAAATGTCCAGTACAATTTATTTTATGTAACAAAATCAAACGCGCTACAAAAATTCTTTCATCGTCTTTTTCGAATTTGAAATCTTCTCTTATGTTAACCACTCTATTCGGTATAAGTCCATAGGCGGCCGAACGTAGAGACTCGTGAGGCTTGAGCCTCGTCTGATTTTGACGTCTATAGGCTCAGCATTACCTGAATTGGACTCTATTACGCTCAGAAGCAGTTAGAAAAGCGCCATAGAACTTAAAAATTTATAATCCTAATAGTCTTCACATGAATGGAAAGTAATGACAATGAAATAGAATATGTAAGAGTAAATAATTGCCGTTAACATTGGTAGAATATGAAGAAAGAATCGTCTTTTTCGTGTTGCCATAAGAGTATTATGAAATATAAGTAAATGTCGTTCAACTGAACCACAAGCTGCAACCCATGCTAATGCAGTAGTTACTGAATATGTCCACCAATTCCACCATGCGCAAAAACTTGATGTTTCACAAATAACTCTTCTATTTCGATTCTGATACAAAGCAATTGGATAATTAATGATCATATCCAAAAAACAGAGAAGAACTAATATAAAAGTTAAATGTTGATAAAAATAAATAAAAATAGGAATTGAACATGGAATAGATATACTTAATAAGATAATTATAATCGAGAATTTAGCATCTAAGATTCGTGACATTTCATCATTCTTCTCCATGAATATATCAATAAAAAAATGAGAAGATCTCTTCTCTTTTCAAGACTAATTATTTTCAAATGACGTATTCTCAAATTGAAGTTATAGATTTCAAAGAATATACCTTTCGTAATTAATGTCGAAAAATAGTCCTGACTCCTCCTACTAAACTCAAAAGTTGATCTCAGCCTTAAAATGTTGACATAGGTTAAGATTTGGAGCATGTATTGGGACTGTGATAAAATCTTCAGCTCGATTAACCGACGTTTAACAGAGATATGAACCAAACAAGAGTAAAAAATAGCTCATTTTTCGTTCCAAGTTTTCTCAGTCCCGACTCTACCATTATGTTTTAATTTTTGTTTGTTTAAAAGAGCATCTCAGGGTGCGGGACAATATGAAATGTTTTTTTTTGTAAATTCTTACTTTTTTACCGAAGAAAAGACATCGCAAGTTCAATGAGTGAAAGAACGCGCGAAAAAAGAAATCACATTTTTTGAAACGATTTTTTATGTGAACTTTGTCGGATCGAAGCTTTTTTTTTCTATCAGTTAGTCTATCTCTCATATTTTGTTGTAGGAATTTTGAGTGAGGGAAGGGGGCTTAAATCAGTTGTTTAATATGAAAAAAAGTATTTGTTTTGAATAAAATATCTTTGTAATTAATAAATTCCTATTATATCTTTATGTACTCTTCATCCGAAAGATTTTATTTTCAGTAATAATCATATTCTTTGATGATCACGCTTTCATTAATGATTTTCATATGCGATAAACCATTCGTAATTAACAGCGGCATTAGAGTTTAAAAATAACATAAAAAGCATTGACAAATATAACACCGACACCGACACCCACACCCACACCCTTAGAATAAAAATGAACCGTTTTAAATAGCAACAAAAACAATTGGCATATATCGTCTACTTGATACTTCTAGAGATCATAGTACACTGTAAATTTTTTTGAAATTCTAGGAATGACTTCGTTACGTTCTTGAGGGTGTGGGTGTGTGAGTGTGGGTGTGAGTGTGGGTGTGAGTGTGGGTGTGGGTGAACAGAATACTAATCCTTATTCATATCTTTTTTGTAGAGAATCTGTCAGGTCTCATCATAGTGATTAATCTAACCAAATATAATAATCTTGTCGAATATTCCTAATAATACAATTAGTGTGTTTTGTTGTTCTAACCATTCTAGTAATTGTTGGACAGTTTTTTCGTTGCATATACACATGTAGACTGATCTAGTGATACATCTTACGGAAGACAAAATCAATAATATTGCTGTATGAATGAATACTTAACGATAAAAATTGGCACGTTTCTTTCAAAGTCATTTTTATCAAAACTATGTGATGAAATTTGATTGGAGCTGAAAGTAACACCAATAGTGATATGTGGATGTGGGATAAAAAAAGGACACTCGCACCCAAACACGTACATTTTAAAGCTAAAGCATATTTATTGACAATAAAGAAAAATAAAAATTTTAGATTTATCTATTAGTCTGTTATTGAACTGACACGTTGTGTTCGACATGAAAATTGTTTCACAATAAATGTTGAGAGTGATAGACATATGATTGATAAACCACCATAGAGACCAATTAAAGTTGTGATTCTTTCGACTTTATCATTCGTATTATCGTATAGATAACTACATGACTTTGGTGCGCATAGATTGAAATATGATGCATAAGACATGTTATTTGCGAATTCTTCAACCATTAATTTATTAACAATAGATTCAACAGTTGTGTTAAGAGCAAAACGGCTTGAATTAACTAACGAAATATTCAATATTTTGAAATTATTAGTAATATTGATACATGTTGGAATAAAAAGACATTCAAGTGTTGATTGTAGAATAGTTTCAAGTGGATAACAACCAGAAAGCATGCCACGTGATGGAGAAATACATTTGAATGATACTGCACAATTACATTCTTGATAATCAAGTGGGATAGTATGAGCAAACTTTCCATGAAATAAAGCAGATGGAGTCTCAATTGCCCAGTTAGTAGAAAATACAGTAAGTAACATATTTGCTCCAATCATTTCTCGAATTAATGAAAGAGTATTAATAAATAAATGTGGCATTGTTGATTGAAATTCATTAATCGTTGATTGAATATGGTTTCCGAATAAATTTGGAGATAAAATTTCAGTATTAATAAAATCACTTTCGATTAATTGAAAAAATGATTGATTTACTGCATCTATAGATAATTTACATAAGGTTTGAAGTAATTGAAATTGTCCATAAGCTGTATGATAGAAATCAGTTTGATTTAATTCATTGATATGAACAGCACGATTGAATAAATATAAAATCCATTGGTTGGAAACAAAATCACTCGAACATATTTGATGATAACGTGGTTCAATATTAAGAAATGATTTGTATTTGATCGATATTTGTGAACAAGGGCATTGCAATGAATCATATGATTGTTCGAGTAAATCTTCATAATTAGATAATGTAATATTTTGAATTTCAACACTTTTTGTATAAAGATTAAAAGCAGTTATTCTATAGAAAACTAAGAGCATAGCAACAACAAGAATAAAATGTAATCGACGAATTAGTTTATGATTATTATTAAAACTGAATATACGTTTAAGTAAATGCCAAACAACTAAAATAGAACAACCATTCAACATAATTTGTTCAATAAATCGAAGTCCCACCCAAATAATAAGTTGAAGTCCAAGTGATAATCCTCCATATAAACCAATGATAGTAGTGACAACATATCCGAAATGATGATTATCTTCATATTCAAATGTACATGATGATGGAGCACATTTTTCATAATACAATGAAAAAGAATAATTCGAAAACCATCTATCGACCATTAATCTATAAACAATTAAGTAAATAGCTTCATTTGGTTGGCTAAGATTTTTATCCAAAGGAGAAAATGTAAATGGTTCTGAAGCAACTTCATGTGATGAATTATGAATTGTTAACATACATGATAGGTTATAGAAACATTCTAATGTTGATGCAAGTAAAGCTTCAATCGTATAACAACCAGTAAAGAAATTGGGAAGTGAATAGGTTATGATAGGTATAAAGAATTGGTATTTTTGATAAATAGCAGTTTCAAGACCACACAGTCGATTTAAAGCACAATTACAAACGCCATGAGATCTTGCTTGTATGGTTGCTTTTCCCGTAATTGGATTAACATCAGCTATAGAATTAAAACCACCATTTGATAATTGATTTCCATGTGTTATTTCACGAACTAATCGAACAGTGCGTTGAAATGTGTTTATCGTTTTAAATTTCCAATTTTCAATGAGAGAGTTTATTTGAAATTCAAAGGATTGTTGAGAAATAACGTTCAAACTTACAAATTCTGTTTCAAAAAATACTCGAAGCGAATCATTAATTGTTTGTTCAGCTTCTTGACAAAACATAGATAAAGTTTGAAAATGGGTATTAGCAATAGCTCGATAATCGAAATGATGCACTCCATTAAATTTCATACGATGTGTGTAAGTCATCCATTTTTCAGAAATAAAATCACTTGAACATACTTGATGATAATAAGGTTGAAGCTCAATAAATGTTGAATAAGGCATAGAATTTGATGTGCATGAACATGAAAGACTATTCAGATAATCTTGTTGAAGCTGAATATATTCAGATTGTGATGGATTAAAAATAGTTTTAGATTGAATTGATCCTTGTGATAAAGTATAAATTGTTAAAATTACGATTGAAATGAAGAATAATAATATGTAGAGTCGAGTAGCATAACGTTGATGACGTATTTGTGTATTAGTGCTTGGATAATGCCTGAATATATTCAGTTCAACAAGTTGGTTTCGAATAGATAATAGAAATGTTCGAAAACGGGCACAAACTAAACATTGACAAAAAAACAAGAAAATATAATTTTCTTCATAAGGTGTAAATGCGAAATAACTATATTGTACTTACTAGAAATTCTTGGTCCTATTCGACGATCTTTTAACCATTGAATGAATCGAACAATAATTGGAATAATTAATCTGAATACTAATGCTAAGCTAGCTAATAAACTAATGAGTTTTATTAAGACATATACACCACTATGTCGAGATACTTTATAATATGTGCATAAAGATGGTGCACATTGAGAATAATAATTGATATATGAAATATTTATTATCCAATCTTCGATCATTAGTTTATCAACTATTGCTTGTACGGTTGAATTTGGATAATATCGACTTTGTTCGGTGTCATTCATCGCTTTGAATGTTTCATTTGTTGGAAAATATGAAATAAGTTTATCTAGACATGGTTGATTGTAGAAACATTCGAGTCCTGAAAGAAGAATTGAACGTACAGGTAGACAACCTGAGGATATTCCTGGAATTTGCCAGAGAACAAAACCCGGAAATGGTTCTATGGATCTATTTAATACTTTATGAATACCTGAAGGGCTCCATGAACAAAATCTGATTTGACATATACACCAATATTCATCATCTTGTTTATATCCAATTCCTACCCTACTAAGAGTAATATCATCACTGGAAAAGAAATAGTATCTATAAGTCGCAGCTGTTAATAATCCATTCATCAATTCGTTTGTTCTTATCATTATATTTACTAATCTTAATAAATTATTAAATGTATTTGGTGCTGTTAATTGTAGCTCATCAATTAATGGGTGAACTTGCGATTGAAGATCAGTTTCAGATAATACTTGTGGACTTAAGAATGTACTTAGATAAAAGGAATTCATACTCTGTTCAATGTTAACTTTTGATAAACGACAAAAACCAGCGAGTGCTTGAAATTGAGCACTACCGAACGTTTGAAAGTCACCTTGAGGAAAATAAGTAGCATTCGCCCCAAGATTTATTGCTTTCAACCATCGATTAGAAACAAGTTCACTTGAACAAATTTGATGAAACGTTGTTTGAATTGAAATAAATTTACCATAAGGAAAAGATATTCGAGAACAAGGACATCGAGTATTTGAAGGAAGATTTTCAAACTGTTCTTTTGTAGGATTTTTAAGCCTGATCATTGTTGTTTGATTTATCAATGATAGAAATAAACAAATTCCAAAGAGAGTTAATATAAGGATTATAATATAGAATCGCGTAGCTATAATGTTCAGGCGACGTCTTTGATCATCTTCGACTTCATGACTATCAGGATATGGTTTGAACAGATTTAAGTTAAGAAAATATTCTTTAATAGAAGACATTCGCTACAAATATATATATATGAATATTGTATGATTTCTTACTTATTCACGTAGTTCTCTGTAATGAATCATATTCAGATATGTACAAGAGGAATACGAGAATACAACAGAAAAAAGATCTATCATACCTTATGTATATCGACTGCAAGAAGTTAAAATGATGACGAGAGATTTTGATGTATGTCTCTATTTTTTTTATAAACTGAATAAAAATCTTTTATATTTTTATCAGACTGTTTTATATCATTTGAACAAAGGGAAGCTTATTTTCCGGACAACTTCTGTGTTAATCATATAAAAAATGAATAAAATAACAGAAGAAGCATCCGTTGCGATGCTGATAAATAATGCTTGTGGAAACAACTATTTCATGACATATTTACAGCAAACACAACATTAAAAAACGTAGAAATAAAAAAAAGAAATAGCTTTTCCTTTGGAAAATCATAGCTCAACAAAACATGGCATACGCCTATTATCATCTGTTGCTGTAAATATAGAAAATGATGAAAATATTAAAACACCAATCGACGATCTTGCATTGATCTTTCCAAATTCTTACTAAGTAGAATTCAGAACTTTGTAATTTAGAGGGTGTGGGTGTGGGTGTGGGTGGGTATGGGTATATGTCTTGTCTTTTTAACTATATCCGTACCCACCCACACCACACCCTTTAAGTATAATGTAAGTTTTTTAAACATTTCGTGCAACAAGTTGACATTGATTTTCATGAGAATCAATCAGATTTGCTAAACGAATTTGATCATAATCAGTATAATTAAATTGATAATAACTTTGAAAACCTTGTTGTTTAAAACAATTCAATGAATGAAATGATTATTTGTTGCTTCTGCATAAATTCCTTTGACATCAATTTTTTTTGCATGTTCAAAACTAGCTGAAACTAATTGTGAGCCAAGTCCATAACTACGATAATTCTTTAGTATATCAATTATAAATATATGAAGAAGTAAATTTATTTGAAATTATTGAAAAAGTTTATATTTTTATGCATTTGATTTAGAAAATGAAGAATCAAATCATTTTTTTCATGAATTATATGTTTATCATCTACGAATTTAATTTCATTAAGACAAACACCAACTAACAGTTCTATTTGAATATCATATACAACAAATGAACATTGATCTTGTAATGCATCTTTTATAATATTTTTAACAAAATCAATTGATTCATTTAATTCAAGACATTTAGCTAAAGGTTCTTCTTCATATTCGAGTGTCTAACAAATATAATGGTCATGATCAGAGTTTCCAATAGCAGTTGTACACAGCATAAGCAAAATGTGCTGTACAACTGCAATTTTTTATTTACACTCTGATTTACAATTTGCTCCAAAAAGCAGAATGTACGGTGTACATTTTGCGAAAATGATTTACAACTTGATTCTAAAATCTTTGCATTTGAAAGTATTTCTACAGTAACTTTTAGGTATGTTGCGCACTGTTTTTTCTCACATACGTTTTTTGTAAATGAATATGTCAGATTACGAAATAATATGCTTATTTATCACTCATATGTTTGTTATTTAACAAGTATTTGTATAAAGTACTCATGAAGAAAGTAGAATTATTTCTATTTTTTACATTGGAAAAACGTCATAAGTACTCTTTGTACACTTTGCAGGCAAAAAGAAGGTGTACACTTACGTTTTGTCTACCTAAGCAAAGCGTACTAATACGTTTTGTTTGAGCTTTCTATTGGAAACTCTGGTCATGATCGCTCTTTAAAAAAAATGAATACTAGTTATTTGTTCTCATTTAGTACAAATAAATGTGCAAGTCCTATCTTATATTGATTCGGGACAATGTTTGAAAGAATAGATCGAATGTTATCAATCTATGTATGCGTGCATTTTGAATAGGATCTAATAGTAATAACGTGTATTCTACTCATGTTTTTATATGCTTAAAATATAAATAGCTTGCAAACAGGATTTCTTATATTAAATTTTATCAACAGAAATATTTAATGAAATCTCCATCCTTCAGTTGATAATACAAGTAATTTGTGTGTACAAAACCTTTTTCTTGTAAATTACGTTTTCTGGTTTAATTAATCAAAATATATATGGGTTTACACACAACATTTCATTGACTTAATTACTTCTAAGAAAAATTCAATACATAGGTTTTCGGGGTCAAGGAATCCAAATCCATTATCAGTTTTTTAGAATTTTTTCAAATTAGTTTTTTTACATAAAGGAAAGGCTTTTTTACGAAACAAATTTGTTTTGTATAAAGTTTGATCAAAGGTAATCGTGGTCGGGGAATCGATTGATGTGTTCAGTTTTTTAAAAATTTATTTATATGAAGATAAAGATTCTTTGATTTTATTTGATTATGTATAAGAAAGGATAATATGAAATAGATACGAATGTTTGATTAATACAATATGTACACTCAGTCCTATTATTCTGTGCAACAATTTTTCCTGTCATCCGAAATCACTTCAAGAGTATTTCACTATGACATAAAAGCATATTACTTTTA